ATATATATATGTATGTATTTAATTTATATATATATATGTATATATATATGTGTGTGTGTGTGTGTGTGTGTGTGTGTGTGTGTGTGTGTGTGTGTGTAGGTACTTATATATATAGCCTAGACCAGGGGTTCGCAATATGCAAAGGCCCAAATCTGATATATACTGTATTCATGGTCACAGGCCCAGAACAATTGGTGATAAGTAAATGACTGTTATTAAACTTGCTTATATCATGAAAGCAATGTACCCTCACCAGCCACTTTATTAGGTACACCTGTACAATTGTATGCATTTCAATATTTCAGTGCAACATTTCCATCTTAACATCTGTGTTTATGAAGCTCAAAATGATTGTTTCTTGTGAAAATGTCATACATGTATAAATTCAATTCTATGTTTATTATTGAGGCCATAGTTAAAGGTGGTGTTGTACTGGATTACACTATATTCAGAGGCATTCCTAATATTCTGACCCTCTCAAGTATGTAGCTGGCGAGGACAAAAATATAGAAACATCAACACCACCTTTAACTGTGACCTCAATAATAAACATAGAATTAAATTTATACATGTATGACAATTTCACCAAAAACTGGAACATTTTGATCCTCATAAACACAGATGTTTAAGCAGAAGTGTTGCATTGAAGTACATACAACTGTACCTAATAAAGTGGCTGGTGAGTGTACATTCAAGTCTGAGACAAAATACATTCAATCCTAGAGGAAAAAATGCCAGTGTCTGAGGCTTCAGTAGTTCTTTCTTGCTATGTCATACATCTCACGAACAACTTGCCAATTCATAGGAAGATTTTAACTGTTGAAGTTTTGCTTTCCTCACCTCTGTGTTCTGTCTCTGTGCAACTCAAACACAATGGTCTCATGCTGGACTGGGGCAAAATGAACACAGATTTCTCTGTCCACTCATCTTTGAAAACTCGCCTGACTGGTCTCTTGACTAATGACTCGACTATTTGGGGGCAGCCCTAAATTTAAACTATTTATTGAAACTGTATTTTTTCAGATATGGGAGAAGCACCCAAACATACTGTTACTGTTACTACTGGCCCTGACAAAATATGGAAACAGCAGTCACATTAAAAGCATATAAACTAATTAACATCATTTCCTGTGGTCTCTCTGCAGAGCTCATACCTGTTTCAACCGGCTGGACCTACCACCGTACCCATCCTTCTCCATGCTGTGTGAGAAGATGTTGACCGCTGTGGAGGAGACCAGCACCTTTGGGCTGGAGTGAAACCCTGGTCTGTCTGCCAGTCAATGGCTGCTGCTGGAAGTGAAAAGAGGAAACCAATCACAGAAGCTAGACAAGAGTTCAGAAACTTCAATTTATGGTTTGTATTAAATTTTATAGCAGAGGCTGATAAGACATTTGAACCATGAAGCTGCACTTTGATCTCTTCAGAGGCAAACGGTTTTTGTTCCTACACACAGACCCACATGGCTTTCAGGACTGGGATCATAACTGCCCAACTGACCAATCAGAGACCAGGATGTCTTTTTCCCCTACTTTCTCTTTGATACCAAGAGCAACCACTGCCTTCAGTGCAAAAGCGGAGTGGGTTCAGCCTCTTTTCTTCTAGTTTGAATAGACCTCAAAACTGAGAGCTTCGAGTGGCACATTTGATGTAGTACACCACTCCTTTGTGGCCTGTTGTGAGAACTACACTTTCTTTTTCAAAGCCTTTTAGAAGACTCCCAGGCATAACCTTTGGTAATGTCTGTTGGCTGTTCTAGTGAACTTTACCTACAGCTTATTTTGGAGTCCAGACAGAAGCTTTGATATTGTTACTACATCTTTTTCATCTACAAGAAAGAGCAATTTTCTAATGATGTGGCAGTGATGTTATGATTTGAGTGTAACTAATTGTATGATGTGTGGGCAGTTTTTGTTTTTCTCTACCAGATCTGGATCAGCTGGCCAGCACTTACTTGAGTTAATTAGTTGGTTAATTTAATTAAATGACATACAGCATGTAATCAGTAAGGCCATCCAATTTTAAACTGCCATTTTAAGTCCAGTTAATAATGTACTGAAAGAAAAGGACCAATAATGTGTCAGCTGTTTCTCATTGTTTTTGGCTTGTTATTCGTATTGCACACAATAACTAGAACCTCTGAGAAAGACTGTCTACACATGTAATGTTGAGCTTGTGTATTTATGACTGAATTTGATTACTCATATGTAAACTCTGATATGAAAAGTTGAACTTTTTAATAGTTACTCTATAATTGCACTTTGTCATTTTATTAACTTTCTATTTATCATAATTTAACATGTTAATTTAATCAGGTTATTTAGTAGAGCAGGTAAACAGTAAAATCAAACTGTCTGCTAAATAGAAAAGTATGAACATTTTTGTCTGAAATCCACTTTAAAGGAGCTTTCCATGAATGTTCTCTTTACATTCCTCCCTGCACTATGAACGTAAGCATGTGTTGAACTGCCACGTGGAACTACGGCTACAGCTGGAACCACAAGGTCAACTGTTGAGTTCCTGAGCTAACACTTCTGAATGACTCGTTTTATACACACAGCTAAATCTAGACCATATGGAAGCTTATTTCTGCCAAGGAAAAAAATCTCATACTTTTGTCTTAAGTCAAAAGTAGTCTCTTAATAGTAACTTAGTATCTTATTTATGACAAAAAACGATTAGCCTGTCAATTTCAACTTTTTCTCTTAATTCTGACTTAGTAAAAGTCATCACTATTGCACTGTCTTGTCTCAGTCTCCTACTGCCATAGTATCTTAGCATAAGACTTGGTTTTATCACAAGTTAACTTTTTCTTCTATTATTTTTCATTTCCTGATGGAAATGGGCTTACATACGACAAAGGTGATAACAACGGCCCGACTGTGTTTTGTTAATTGGACAAAAACAACTTAACAGCACATTTTAAGCAAAATCAAACTGATGTTCTCGATTTTTGAAACTGCTTTTGATGAACTCACAGACCTGCCATTTAACTTTTTTTTTTTTTTTTTTTTTTTTTTTTTACACTTTTAGCGATGAACCCTAATCCAGAATCCAAACTATTATTGCTGTTTGACTTGGATAGGAACATACTGTAGGTTAATGAATTTTCACATCCACTTAAAATGGGATTAAATGCTTAAATTGTCATGTTGAAAATATTGCTAATATTCCTCTCACTGAATGCACTATCCTCAGTCTAACCAAAGTTAAGAGCCTAAACCAGCTGCCTCACATTAAACTCTCTGTACAGTCACTTTGAATATGAATGTTTGTCAGCACTCCTCTCCTAAAGTAAAAGTTCATCTCTACATGCCAGCTTTTTCTGTTTCTTTCCACATCATTTTGACTGTAAGTTAACAAAACAGAGTGGGATAATAAATGGACATTTGTATGTTTTTACTCAACATGAACTGCTTAGTTTTAAATATATGTTATTACCCAGACAGTTTCCGAATATTTAACCATGTATTCACAGAAAGATTATGTGTAGGCTATTTGCATTTCATATGCATTCTTCATATAAGCTATTTGGAAGCTAGACTAATGTGAGCTATAGGCTACATGTAAACTAAATTATACAATAATTCTGCAGATTGTGTTTTGTGTTGTTCTCTACCAGTTTAAGTACCTCTAAGGAACCAGTACAACCAGAAAAATGCAGTATTCTCCTTGCTAAAGAGTGAGTAAAGCTGATATCTTTATATAAAAAGGGTTTTTTGCCTCAGATTATTTTTTTACAATATTTATGGGAAATAATTTAAACATTATCAATCAATTCAGTTTTATTTGTAGAGCACTAAATGTCAGCAAAAACCATCTCAGGGCACTTTACGTAGTAAGGTAGTAAGTAGATAGTATTTATTTAATTATTAGTTTTTGTCACTTTCTGGCAAGGTGAAAACTGCATTGTACTGGTCCTTTAAATGTAATCTTTAAAATATACGTAACCCATAAAAGTGAAATAATAGAAATCTGATGCAGAAAACCCCATTCAGTCAACAGATATTAGCTGTAGTCACTGTTTTGGAAAGGAGAATCATATGATACTAGCATTTTAGAGATACTAAAAGCAGGTATAAATGTACTGGAGGGCTGATACAGTTATATCTATCTATGAACCCAGATGAATCAGATCAGCTGGTCAAACTTCAAACATTCATTTCTTAGATGATGCCTATTCAAATTGCACACAACACTACACAATAAATGCATATAATACATCTTTTATTAAATATAAACTTTATGATTATATTTGTTGATGTTGATTTTTTTCCCCACTGTGGTCACCTGTGACAGTTTACCCACCTCTGGGCTTTTCCATATATTTCAGTTTGGAGTAGTATACAGTATATTAGTTTCACAAGAACTCTATTTTACTCCCAAATACAGGAAGAAACAAACTTCGGGGGCGGCTCAGGAGGTAGAGCGGGTCGTTTCCTAACCGGAGGATTAGCGGTTCGATTCCCGGCTTGTCCAGTCAACATGTTGAGGTGTCCTTGAGCAAGACACTGTATCCCCAGTTGCTCCCGGTGATGTCACCGGTGTGTGAATGCGTGAGTGCTTGGGAGTGCGAATGGGTGAATGGCCGAATAATGTGAAAGCGCTTTGAGTGTGCTGTAAAAGCACAGAAAGGCGCTATACAAGTATAAGACCATTTACTTTGTAATGAAGACCTTATATAATTGAGTCTGGGTGTACTGTAGCTGATTCTCCAGTTGGTGGTAGTGATTCACAAGTTGTGTAAACTTATGCCTGTACCCCAATGTGGTCTACACATGTGCCCGCTTCCTGACACCCCAATTTCCACCTACATTTCTGCAAAACTCTACAGTAGAATATTAATTTGACCTATTATGTAACAGCAATATGGGAGTGGAGTTTTATTTGTATAATTGTATAATTAATAAACTATATTATATGAGCTTTACTGCAATTAGAAAAGACTGTCACTTCTAAAAAATACAATAGTATATGACTGGGGTTGTTGTGTTGCCAGAACTAAGAAGAAGTAAGAAAATAATAATAATAATTTCACATGAAAAATCACAAATCCTCCGTGTAGTTGTATGAGTCTATTAGAAATTAGACAATTTGCACATTAAACTGAATGAGAAGAGTGATTTGATGGTACATATACATAAAAAATGACCTCAAGGTATTATCATAGGGCAAACAGCTACCAAAATAAAGCAAATATAAGCAGTTTAGTAGCCTATTAATTCATCTAGTCTGCCTAAGATTCAGTAACAAATTACATGTCATTTATAGTAGCCTTGTGATTAACAACAGTTTGCAATCCTGCGACTTTGATATTTTCTAGAAGCGTACCGTACATTGAGGCCATCTTGCGACAGTCACAGCTTTTAAGGACATTCCTTCCCCAACCTGCGATGCCTAACCAACCGGAAGCGCGGATTGATTTCTCCATGGCAAGCAAGAGCGCTAAAAAAATCAAAGGTGCGCTTATTAAATCATCATCCATCTGACTCGGAAAAAGGATTTCACGAGTTTAAATATCTAATTGACAGGCTGTCCGCTTAAACAGGGGATTATTCTTTCGGATATGGGATCTACCTTCAGGGTCCCCACCTGCTGGGCACCGTAATGGTGGTGAGTATCCAGATCTTTGGAGAAGGTTCTCTTATCATTTTTACGTGAGTTTATCTCCACTAAAGAATTTTAAATCAGGGTTCTATGTCTTTGCTGAAACAATACGACATACATATAATGCTGTCTTTTATTTGCACGTCACGCAATAAAAGAGCAACCTATTGTGTTTTCTGTACGTTTTTGTTTTGTCTTTAATATTCCTCCGCCAATTGCAGCTACTGTGTAATTGATAGCCTATTTCAAAAATGTTTTCATATCATTCAGGATTTTATTTATGTAGACATGTACTCTACACTTTCTTAAAATTGCCAATTCACATTTGAAAATTGAATATTACAGTCCAGCTATGCACTGTCTGAGGATAAGGTGCAAATTTAAAATGAAACAAATCAAGTAAATGAAAATAACCCGCATGTCGTGACAAACAAAAAAGGCTTGAAATATTTGCATCCTCCGACGTGCTGGCAGGGAACAACCCTCACAGCTACAGGCTCCTTTGGTCTGAAATGTCAACTGTTTATCCGGCTGTATGTTTGATGCACAAAATTGATGCCAAAATCTAAGGTGACAGTGAAAATAAAATCTATTTCTGGTAAACCATTTGCAGCTTGTTTAGGAGGTTGAATGTAAACAATACACACATCTGGTAAGGACACGCCCAGACTCACTGAGACCCATTCAGAGCTTTATGTAAGGGCTTTTTTGTTAACCTTTTACACCACTGAACCCCAGTACACCTATACTTTGTAGAGATGACCCTGGTACTAGGGTACTGGTTGTTGGTTCAATATTTAATTGTAGTCTAAAGGAAAAGGAAATGTGGAGAAGTGAGGGTAAACATCCTAATGCACAATATAGAAAACGATTAAGCACTTCCATTGTTTGGAACAATTTAGAACACAGTTCAAGGACCCTACTGTGGCTCCCGGACCCCAGTTTGGTCACCACTGGTTTCCACGGGGTGGCGATGGGTGGCTGCTGCTCCTGACTAAAAGCTTCAACCTCAGTCGGTCGTTCACCGGTGTATGTATGTATGTATGTATGTGCCGTCGCCTTTCTTCTTCTTCTCCGCTCCTGGGAGTCGCCTTGCTGCTAGTGGTGTATCTGGAGTGGTAAAATACATGACGACCGCGTCTCATTCGACCAGCGCTAGTCTGTGAAAAATATAGCACGAAAAGTGTCGATTGTTTGAGAGCTGGAGGTAACGCGAAGACATCGTCAACATGGCGACAACTGCTGCGGCCCTCTCGGCCTTTTTTGGACACCGCGACAATTAAGGTATCGTCTAACATCCGCCGTCATTTTCTTTCTGATTTCTGATTAGCCCTAGCTACTTATATCCAGACGGGACTCTATCTGTAGCCACTAGCTGTTATGAAAAGTGATGTAGCAGTCCTAAAAAACAATACAAAACAAAAAACATAGTATCATACACGTCTGCTGCCTTTAGCTTATTACAGGTATCACCGAGGGTGAAAAACGACCTTAGAGTGCTTTAAGGTCACAATAAACTGGAGTGTTATAGACACGTTGTTTTTGTTTGGTGTTAAAAACGCAAAATGTCTCATGCGTATCAGGTAGGTTTCCATTTCTTAACTGTCCCCTCGAGCACCATTTTTCTTTCAGCCCCATTTTTAAGCACAATGGACAGCAGCACCCTTTTGACACAACGTCAGCTGATATTGTAGTCATAATTCAAATGGATTTGAGCAGCTCGGGTACAATTTGCGAGCAAAGTCTGAAAGGTCTAGCTCAAGAACACTGTTGATAACACACTGTTATTATTAGGTCTTGTCTAAATGTCTGCTACAGAGTTGGGCTGTCACGTGTTTGTTGTCTGTTGCAACTGTTCTCCTTCAGCACCATGGATAGAGAAACATCTGCCCATAGAGAAAGACAGTCAGGACAGGCTTTTTCCTTAGGGGTAAAGCAGGCGTTGTTCTGGAGATGTGAACATGTGTGGGCTACATGGTACAGCAGGTACCTTGAAGGACAGCCTCATATATACTGTACATTATAACATGTTTTGGTTTCTGTATTTGTTCCTTCTTTTAATACTGGTTGGTGCATAAATGGCTTCCACAGTTCAGTTGAAGGTAAAATGGGGTTTTACCAGGTTGAGTGACACAAATTAAATCCAATATAACATTTTTTTAACTATGAAAATCAGCAGTTTTGCTTCTCCAGACACTTGTGATATAGGAACAGTAACAGGAATTTTAGACTGCTGAAGCCTCATGGTTGGCTTTTGCTTTCTTTTTTGGGATCTCTTAACAGCCAGCATGGAGAGGATGAATAATGAGAACTGCCAAAATGTTTGAGTGTTGTTTTAGGAACCAAACTTTAACAACTTGAAAAAGTGTGAAATCATTCTTTAACTAGTATGCCACCTTAGATAGCAATACTGATATTGCTAATGAGATTTAGAGACTAACATAGGCCTTGTGTCAAGGTGGTCATTAGATAAACATTCTGAAAGGCTTTTCATTGTGTCACTGAGTGAAAACGTGAAAACTACATATAAAATATCTAAATAAGATTTGATGTGTACAAGAATTTTGATACAAGCTCTAAAGGCTGTCTGATTTTATACAGTGATTCCTCTCAGCACCAGGATACATAACTAGAAATCTTGTTTTCAGTCTATCATGCTATGCTAGGTGAGCATAGCACCTCCCCCCCCCCCCCACCCAACCCCACCCGAGACGCGCATACAGCGCTG